TAAATGAAGGTATTCTGGCAGCTTTTCTTCATCTCACAACAAACCATATATCAACTCTCTAAACTGAACAACTACGCATAGTGAACAATGTTGAACGATTCTCATGCGTTGATAATAAAGAGATTTTACTGCATAAAAAATGCAAATTAGAACTTAAATAGCTCAAAATACCACGAATTCAAGTGTATATTCACCGAATAAAACTACATTGAACTTTTTTTGAATCTAAATAATGAAATATACTTTATTTAATCGAATAATTTTTTGTTTTCCCGAAACTCAACCATTATGTAATATCACGGAACTAAAAAAACTACAACCTTACGTTTCACAAAAAGTAAAAGAACTATATAGTATAATTTATTATGAGAGCGTGCATGAGAACACCGAGGATCATCTCAGTATACGAGGTACTGGTCAAGATTTAGATTTTCGATTTTCTTCTGTGCGTTTGAAAGGCCATAGTCAAACACCGCCAAACCAAAATTTTCAGCTCATTTGAATTTATTATAGGAAAGTCAGTCAATATCGACTTTAGAGCACTACCAACTTACTATTAAAGAAATAGTCAAAAATAGTACCGTAAATGCTGATGACATTTATGTTTCAACAAGTCAAATATTTTTCGTCTCCCATGCTGAAAGATACACTGTCAAGAGCTGAAGAAAATAAGCTGTTGAAGTTAATACATATTATCTGTTTACTGGGTTTTTGTAGTCCGAAATGAGTGAGAAATGTCACCATTTATGCGTCCAAAATGATCGATTTTTGCCAGTATATCTGCTGTAATTTTTTCAAGCGAACTGAGGCCAAGCTAGGTTTTTTATATGATATACAACTTTTGATTCTCTACAAAATGTTAAAAACAATATTGAAAAAAAAGTTCCCTTCGAGGCAAAACAGGGCTCACAAATCTCTTTTTCATAGTGATTTTCAATGATTTTTCAAAAGAAACAAAACTATTTCAGCAATTTTCATTAACAAGACACGATTGAAAAACAAAACGACTATAACTTCGGAATCAACGTCAAAATTGCATCGAATCAAATAAATACTAGGAGAATCTTTTTTTCTACGAAAAACTGACCTCTGGAGAGCACGGGGCCAGGCTTAAACAAAATAGAATAGCGGGGAACCACAGGTTATTTTCCTCACAGAAAAGATTTTCCTAGAGGGTGTGGGTGTAAGTATTATGAAGATACTGACACTCACACTCACACCCATCACACGTGAAGCACGTGCTTATAACTGTTACTTACATATTTTGTTTTCGACTTTTTTTATTCGTTGTTTTGTTGAAACGGTATGGATGTTATGGTTGACAGTCTACAAAATAAATATAATTTACAACCCTGCATGTGTTGATGAAAATATACCGAATCTTTAGTTCTGGTTCGCGTTAATAATGATGTAAAGACAGAAAAACAACCTTGATTTTCATAATTTTCAAGCAAGAGTAACAAGTTACAAGAGACTCACAATCTGGATTCAAATTTGTCCGTAATTTCATGCATGTAGATCTTCAAAAATCATTTGACATAGAAAATAAATTTTCAAATGAAACTGTTGATCAAAATGGATATAGCTTTTCTATTTTTTTTGCATCAGAGGCTAATATTCGATAAATATTATCTGTCTATTTTAAGATCACTAAGGCAGATATTTTAGAAAATAGCAAGAACATAGCCATTTGATGAATTTGAATGTGTGTGAGTGTCTTACTTTCCACTAATCCACGTGCATATACACATCATACTCACATATAGATGCATTCAGCATACGCCTATGCCCTAATGTTCCTGAAAGAATCTCGTAGAAAGAAGCAACCGGAATATCATATTTCTTATCAACAATTGAGGTACATATACTCTTAACTCCTTTTGAGTATCCATCTAGTACGTGGAAAGTCAACTTCGAGTTAATGAGCGGAGACAGCAATGTTCGAATTGCTTCATCAAAAATTACTAAAATAGAATAATCAAGACTGCATTGAATCCATGATTGAAATTTCACATATAAGATTACTCATGTGGGATTGTAGACCATACATAGGGTTTGAAAGTGGTAAATATCAGCTCTGAAATTATCCTATTTGTTGGTAGATCACCTTCGTTGAAAAGCAGAATTTTCGTGAAAAATTCAACTTGGTTGAGGTTCTCTGAAAAAATTGTACCGATATATCAATCTCGAATTTCTAATGAGAATAGCCTTTTATAAGTTCTATTTGACTGAAAACCTTTTCTCTCTATACTGTGCTCTTAACGAGAGAAAAAGTCTCAACGTGAATCAAAATCAGTAATACTGCTTGAATAAACGAAACCCATAGAATATAAAAGGATGAATTAATTGAGCTGAACATTTTATTTATATGTTGAGCTCACTAGTATATGCATCTATAGCAAAGCTCAGCTTCATTAGGAAAGTGTTTTGAGAAAGACTCAATCCACAACAGGCTCTACTTTTAGGTGTTGCATTTCGAAAATTTTTCAGAACAAAGAGTTCGTTAAAAATCGATACTACAACGTTTCTGAAAACGATTTACGTCAAAACTCATAAGGTACTTACCTCTAGCATGTGTCTTAGATTTTAGAAAACTTGAAATTCTTGATTGAACACGGTTAATCATAGGTTACATAGACTGACTCATGAGGAAAGTTTTATATGTCATGGATCGAAAAAGATTTAAAAAGTACATGTATTTATGAATGTCTCTTGTCACATGAACAGATAGTTTGTGAAGTAGTTATTGTATGTAACAATGATGTTGTTTGATGACAACTTCTTTGATTGAAAATTGTTTCATTAATTCTATAGTTGAAGACATGAAACTTTCATTGAATGCTAAGGTAGTCGTGGCTAGTAGGAATTCCGAATTCTAAAGAACCATGCAATGTCTACATTTGCATGAGTATTCGTTCTGAGAGGAAATTCGTGAGAAAATGAGTTAATTTATATTCTCATCTTATTTCTAGATTTTTTCTACGCGAATCAATAGCTTTATTAGTATAGCTTCCCTTCTTTATTATGATAAAACTGAATTTTTAGAAGTAAGAAAGGTAACCTTTCTGGATGCATTTAGAAATAGTACTGAATAGATTTCAGTTCTCTGAGTTCAACAAATTCGAATTCGGTTATGTTCAACGAATCCGACATATTTTACTGATTCGATTTGACAATAAAGTACCGCTAGAATACTTTCCACTTCAAAACTATCTCTTTCTTATTGTCTCTAATGGACGAATATTGCTGGTGATCCACATAGATCAGTAAAATTCAATCAGATCTATCCTGATTATAATAAAATCCATTGAAAAGTCCTAGTGCACGAATGACATTTGTCAAGAAATTTCTCCTGTCTTTTCATTGTCTCGAAAGTAAGATATTAGTACATGTGAATAGAAATCAAACAAGTGTCAATTACAATCGCCTCCCTTATCCATGTTAAACTATGCACATAGTAGAATATCAAACATATTTGATGATTGATCTCCATAGTTTTTGCTAGCATTGTGCAGTCTAGATTGGTGTTACATGTATTGGATGAATAAGGAATGAGTGCAAAATAAAAGAAAACAGCGATTTTTTAAATTGCTAGAATCTCACAACTCCTGATACAAATCTGCATAAAAATCGCTACTTACAACTCTATTCTCTTAGTGAAATATCTATTTTTGTTCAAGACCAATCGGTCAGACTGAAACTTTCTTTTAAATATGTGCGTCAACTTGGAGCTGAACGAATCAAGCTGTTTCTTTTCAAGTTGAGTTAAGTTGAATTAAGTTATTTTTGCCATTTTGTTGCTTTATGTTTATTTGTATAAAGAACATTAACAAAAAGTTTTTCATTAAACGATATCTAACTCTTACTTTTTATAAACAAAAAAAAGTAAAATTATACATGAAATAAAACCGTATAACTACTCTAGATTTATTATCAAAAAAATAAGAACTGTTAAATCAACTAACTCTTTTCTTTAATATAGTTTCACACCGAAGTAAAAAGACATCATTTGCTATAAACAAAAACCTGTTTACTAGCAAAAGTTATTTATCATGATTTAAATTAATGTGAGAATGTGCTTTAAAAATGTTAAAATACACATACATATTACCTTCTGTAAAACTTGAACAATGGGATTTCATTAAAAGACCACTTTGAGAAAAATACACGTTCAGCTGGTACTGATGTAGCAGAAATACACATGATTTTTCTAGCAAGTTTATTAAGAGACTGATATGAATTTCATTTTTTGTAAAATAAGATCATTAATTAATGTTTCTTCCTATATAGAAAATCATCAATTTCTTCTAAAACTGATTCTAGTGTTGAATTATCAACTTTCACTTTTGTTCAGTGAATGATCTAAATCAAACAGCTAAGTTAAGATTACTCATCATTTTCGAGTTTGAGTCAAGTCAAAGTCATTAAAGAATGTTAATGAAGTCGATTCAAACTGAAGCGATGAATGGGATAAGTACAGATCTGAATTTTATTTTCTTGCCAATGGATAAGTCTGGATATATATATTACTGTATAGTTATCAATTAGTTTTTTTTCCACAGTCATAAATATTTGATTCACATAGTATACAGATTTCTATGATTATATTTCAAGATAAATTGTTGTTTAAAATAATGAACACATAAAAGGACGTTCCAACAGCCAAAGTACAATGAATTTCGTGTGTTAACGCTTCGTTAATATGACTTTTTTGTAGCCAGTGAAGTCTAGAGTCATAAACATAAGTGACTAGTCTAAATGTGAGAAGGACTGCTATCAACAGCCGAGAGTTCCCTCCTGGATCTACCAAAATAGCTACATGTTCCTGTGAAAGTTCAAAAATTTTCCCGCTAGGCGAATGTTCCAAACGTACCTGTGTATCATAAGAATAGGTTCATTGAGGTTTACACATTTAAGCTAATAGAAACAACGTTAAAAGTTTAATTTGAACAAAAATGTAACTGAAATATGATTTCAAATATTTTTGAAGTTTTATTGCATTATATCAAATTGGACACAAATGATGGAATAATTTTGATATGGACCAATTGTCGTTTTAATTGACAATCGGGTTCTACTTTTATTACTTGAAATCGCGCTCCAGGCTTCAATAATATTTCTTTTTCATTCTCAAAATATGTATTGTTGTTTAAGTATGTGAATTGATCATTGGATAAATACTGTTGTACTTCGATATTGTACAGAACATTTTGTCCAAAGTTTCTCGCAATATCACGATCGAGTGAAGTCGATACAAATGGAAGCCATCTAAAACACTTGTCTTTTTTTCCAGCAGCTTGTTTATATTCTTCTAATGTTTTGGAACAAACAGCATCACCACGATAGAGAATCATTGGTTGAGCGTCCATAACACGAACTGATTGTCGAAGACGATGTCGAAATGGCATACTTTGATTAGTATGGCGACCAATATAATTGTAAACGAGATAACAATAAGGACCTAACTCATTGAGTTTAGTTCGATCATCGCAACGTAATGCAGTATTAACAACACGAAAGAGAAAACATGGTTTCGTGTATAATTTGGCACAGCAATCTTGCAATTTTTGCATTTTTTCCCACTCTTTTTTTTTCGAAGTTTCCTCTTTAATAGAATATAACTCTCGCACAATATTGCTAACAACTCTTTCTGGCTCATTGCGTCCTACTAGTTTTAAGCCATTGATAAGGGCAGGAAAGATAGCATCAAATTTCACATTCAATTTTCCATGAGTAAATGCCAATAACCAATCTCTAACAAATTGTGAACCGTGATAAAATGTATCCATACTTGTACTATCTAATGCAGTCATATCCAACGAAAACGAGAGTCTTTCTTGACGAGCAATATCAAATTCTATGCTCCTGTCATTTTCCACATGTACTTCTAATTTATGGCGTCGAACAGGTAGTTGGCGCTTTGGATCACAAATATCCTGTTGTAAAAGTTCTATGAAATCGATTCGATATGATGTACCGATGAAGGTCTCGTTGTCACCTCTCTTAAATGCTTTCTCTAAGGCTGATGATATATTCGGTGGGTAAGGGATCCATCCATCGAGTCGAGTACTATTTCGTGAAGTTGTATCGGTGTGATATAACCAGATAAATTCATCATCTAGTGAAGGCAACAATAGCGGGCGCACAGAAATCAATTTGACTCGAGAAGCCATCTTGACCTTAAAGTTGGAAACATATAGATGAATCAATTCTGTTTTGTACGCAAAGCTTCTAAAGTCATACAACTCTCAAATATTGTCTAATCACGACATTTATCTCTGTTAGTCAATAGCACAGCTCATAATTGACATGAGTATCATATAGTACTTAACCTTCTTTGTCATAAGCAAATATATGATCGAAAAAGAACGGAAGCGCTCAGTTTCGCGATTAGTTCAAGCATGGACTTTGTCATTTCTTCTCCATAGTACAGTACTGTTTACTATACAGCTTGGTAGCCGACCCACGAAAAAAAAATCCCAAAAAAACCGCGAAAAAACGCACTCTCAAAAACCGCGGTTTCAGCCGGTTTTTTTCGATCGCAGGAGTCAGACCATTAATGCACTTTTGAATAACCGGAAAAAACCGCGGTTTTTGAAGACGCGTTTTTTCGCGGTTTCCAAAAGCTGCATTAATGGTCTGACTCCTGCGATCGAAAAAAACCGGCTAAAACCGCGGTTTTAAGGATAGAGGTTTGTGGCGGTTTTCCTCAAAATTTCTTTACAGCAGAGGTTCCAGTTATCTTCATTTCCATGTAGTTCCCATGATATTTCGAAAAAAACTATGATTGTTTTACAAGTTATAGTACGTGTACATACGCGTACTATAACTTGTAAAACAATCATAGTTTTTTTCGAAATATCATGGAAACTACATAGAAATGAAAATAACTGGAACCTTCGGTCGGTCTGTATACTCCACATATTTTTGGTTTATATGTGGTAGTAATCTAAAAAGAGAAAAAAAAATTTAATTATTACTTACTGTACAATTCGACGTTGATATGGATCTGTAATAAATCTAAAATAAAAAAAAAATCATTTTAATAATACTTACTGTTGATTTTGAACTTGAAATTAATCTCAAGCAAAAAAAAATAAATTTATTTATATAAATACTTACTGTTGATTAAATGTTGATATTAATCTAAAATAAAGAAAGAAAATGTTTATTTAAATAATACTTACCGTTCAACTCGAATTTGAGATTGATTTAAAACAAATCTAGAACAAAAGAAATTATTTAAATAAATGCCTATTGTTGATTGGATGATACGATTTATGTAAAAGAAAGAAAAAAAATTGTTTATTTTATAATACTTACTCTTCATTTTGAACTTTAGATTGATCTGAACTTAAGAAAAATAAAGTCATTTCTATAAATACTTGCCACTGCGGTCAGTTTCATGTTGATATTGATTTAAAATGAAGGAAAAAAATTATTTAAACAAACAATTGTCGTTGATTTCGATGTTGAGATTGATGTAAAATAAAGAAAAAAAATTGTTTTATTTAAATAAAAAATTAGTGTGTATTTTGGTATTGGAATTGATTGGAAATTAAGAAAAGCTATTATTTAGATGAACACTAACTATTGATTGGATGTTGAGATTAATCTAAAGTAAAGAAAAAAGAATATCTATTTAAATAATATTTATTGTTCAATTCGAATTTCAGATCGATCTAAAACATTCTTAGGACAAAAAATCTATTTATATAAACACTTACTGCTGATTGGGTATTGGAATTAATCTAGAATAAAGAAAAAAAATTATTTCAAAAATGCTTACTATTTGATGGAAATTTCAGATAAATCCAAAACAATCCTCGAACAGAAAAATTATTTAAATAAACACTTCCTGTTTATTGGACGCTGAGATTAATCTAAAATAGAGAGAAAGATTATTTATTTAAGAAAACGGCCATTATTCATTCGTACTTGAGATTGATCTAAAATGAAGAAAAAGAATTGTGTAACGTGAAGGGGCGTCTCTCAGAACATATTCTCAAATTTTGCTCGACTGCTGAGGATACATTCAGTGGTACGTCTGTAGTAAAAAGTGGATTAGTAAAGATTTGACTGAGTTATTAATTAATCCAGTGGAAAATTAAGTGAACATTTTAGGTCAAAAGGAATTTTAAAAACGCCTAGTGTTCAATATGAATGTTGGTTTTTATGTGATTCTAGTTTAATTTTATAAACTATTTGGACATATAAATTGAAGAAAAAAAAATCTCAGAATTCTTTTTTATAGTTTAACTATTAATTGGTCACAATTAATGCCAACCCAGGTCAATGATTCCGGACTCCGGAACCTTCAGGAACCGGCCGG